ACGAGTACACGGTGCAGTACTGCCCAGATCAGGACCCAGAGAAACTTTGGGTTTAGGGCTTAGGAGTGAGGGATACGACTTACCGATCCAGTCTGCAAGCTTGAGGGAATTCTGGAGGTAGTTAGAGGGTAGGACTCCACGGTTTAGGGTTTGGGGTTGAGGGTAGGACCTTCGTGCTGTAGGGCTTTCAAGGGCTTTGGGGGGTAGGTAGGCTTCGGGGTCGATCCTCTGAAGCCGAGCTGTAGAAGAACAGAACCCGATCCTAGTGTATCATATCCCAGTAGGTTTTGATGTCGGGGTGGTGGGTTGGAGGTTGAAGCCCGAACTAAACCCCAAAACCCTAAACTCTACATAAAAAAACTAAACACGAAGCTCCTGAACTCAATCAGGGGTTCAGGTTGGGCCATATGTTCCTGACGGGTTCCTGTTTTTTCTTTTGACCGGCTGCAAAAGAAGAATATGGCTGCACACCCATGGCTATTGTAATGCAGAGGTCGGACTAGTTAGTGTCAGTACCCCCTGGCCGTCCCAGAATGGCTCTAGTCTCTAGTATCCTATACCCCGTAAGTACTTGTTCGCAGCCGTTGCACTACAGCTGTGACGCACAAACACTGCTTGATGGAATCTCTGGAGATCTCACACTGAACCCTCGAACTCGGAAGCTTGCATGCTTAAGCTGGAGAAGGACTCTCCAGGATCACCTTTATGAAGCTTTCAAGCTTTCTGCTGACCTTTCTTCATGTAGAGTGTTCGATTCACAAAGACTGCAAGAACACCGGTGTCATGGTATGGCGTAAAGATGCTTAAACGAGGTACTTCGGCATGAGTGTTTGGAAAGGGAGGCTGCTGGACCCCAGGGTGAACCGGTTTAGGGTTTAGGGTTTAGGGGAACCCTCAACCCCTCAAAGGACAATCTTGTGGTGAACCTCGTGAAGCCCTACAGCATCCGGATGGTGCTGGAAAGCCAGTCCTGCCCTGCGGCTGGTGAGGCCACTTCTCTTCTTGCTGCTGAGGAGAGCCTAAAGCCTTAAACTTAAGCATGACAAACAAAAACAGATGCAACAACAAACATGATAAACCCCATACAGGATCAAAAACTGCAGGAACTTCTGCTCGCTCGCAGACTTCTTGGGTTTGAGTTTCAGATTGAGTTCTGTGGCGGAATGAGCAAACGAAACCAGGAACAACACTATGATGCTGTGTTTAAAACGGAGCAAAGAAATCTGTTTGTTTAGTTTCGGTTCATTCAACACCAGGGTGCAAGCATGACTTTCTAAGCGAGAGAAATAAGAAGCCACACTTTGCTATCTGCTTCTTACATTGAGGTGTGAAGAATTTCGTCACATGATGACAGAAACGCAAAAGGTGGCACAAGCACGTATTTCGGGTCTTATGGCACGAGGCTACGATTGAGGGTTCAAATTCAATGAAGTGAGGCCAAGAAGAGAGTGGAACGTAAGCGTGATTTCATCATATGACTTTAGCTCTTCTTCACCTGCTCTGTTATCACCAGGAAAAAGTTGTAGTTATCAATGTTTCAGAATTTAATTATCGGGACTAACCTGTCGAAAGAGGAATGGAATTATATTCTTCATGGAATAGGATTGTTTCTCCAAGGTATCCAAACTTCTACATACCTTCCTACGATCTGTCTAAATGATGCCTGGCTAGTTTGGAGGATTCTGAATCCATTTTTAAATGCCAATCTGACAACCGTCTCCAGACATCTTAGAGTTTTTCCCTTTCATACATGTTCCTGACCGTTTATATTATGAGCTCAGAATGTCGAGAGGGTACAAGATGAACGCATACCCCACATTATCCATTTCCTCTACGACTTTATGACTTTCGAGCACAGCCAACTTTTTTATTGGACTGTTGACCCGCAATTCTCGGAAGAAGCTACTTGGGTCTTAGTCTTATGTTGTTGTCACCCGAATCAGAGCCAAATCAGTGATCACTTGATTGTTATTCATGCGGACATCAAGAACAGAGGAACCCCAGATAAGGCCCAAACACAGCCCAGAGCAAATAGGGCACAAATAGGGTCCAGATACAGCCTCACTAGAGCTAATCATAACCTTCCATTGGCAGATGACGCGGATTCTGCGATGCCCTGACACGACAACAACTACAAAATGGATCCGAAATACAGCTTATTTGGGTCTTGTTTTGGATTGCGTAGTATAAGGTTACTGCGAAAGAGGGGGGAGTTGGGGGGCGGTTTAGTTAGCATTTCATGTTTTAAAATCTCGCATTTGAATCGTTAGTCTCCTTGTTTAATGTCACAGCAGAAAGCATTGAGCTTCGTCAATGAAGTGTCAGTTTGCTTTACAATTAAACCAGAAGCATGCCCAAGAAGTGGGAAGGAAGAACTGGATTTCAACAAGTGAGAGTTTGTGTTTTGCTTACATCCTTATTAATGCCAGCTTCTTACACCACTAGCAGATCATTAAAAACCGATGTCTGCTTCATTAAAAAACCGATGTCTACCTGTAAAACTAGAAAAACGCAGGGCTCGTTGTCCGACCTCCAACCGATTCCAGGATAGAATCCTACAGGGTGTCAGAGGAACCGGGGCTGATGGGGTTGCGGTGGCTTAGCGGTAGGGTTGAAGTGTGTAGGGGTTTAAATTTAATTAAGGGTCCAGGGTAGCTAGGTTGGGGGGTTTAGCAAAAAGGGCAAAAATGGGATTTAGGTTAGTCTCCACCCACTAACGGTGATGATATGTGGTTAGGGCCACAATTTCCTCATTAGTGGGGTCGGGCATAACTATCAATGCACGAGCACTTTATGGTTTCCTGTCTTAGAAGAGAAACAGAGTATCTTCGGGTTCTTACGAGATATAGCGCTCCTTCGGATTATTGGTCAGGGTTTGTTTGGCGTGTCTTTGTGGCGGACCGTAATAAATGTGGCCATGAAGATAGGTGTCCCAAATTGCTTAAGCGAAACATAAACCCACCATACTCTGAATCCGAAAGAACACTCAGAGTCAAGCCTTCATGACAGGTGTGAAGCTCGAGGGTGGCATTGTTGGCGGCATTTCGCGGACTGGCGGTGCGAGCGGCTCTAGTGTCAATCCGTGAACCACGACTGCGCTAGTGTAAACTGTTTCACATATATATATATATATATATATATGTAGAAGCTGTATACATATATATATATATATATGTGTACAGGGAGAAAGATAGTGGTTATCAAACGACCAGCCCGTCTCCAGTCTGTCAGTTTACTCCGGCGCATGCTGCCACCCGGCATGGTGGCGTGCGCGCCTGTAGCATAGAGAGGCTGGCAATGTCCAGGTTCTTCTTTGCCGTGGCACTCCGCCCTCGTGTTGGGAGGCAGGAGCAGTCCCAGGTTGCAGGTGCCTCAAGATCCCTTATAGGGTTTAGGGTTTAGGGTTGAGATATCATATGAGACTCCTGATATAGCCCACAAAACACAATAAACACTGTTGGTTCGAAACCCTGAGCCGTACCCCACACCTCCGAAGCGAGAGCTGCAGTGCACTGCTGCTGGCTTTCCTGCAGCACAAGCCTGGAATTCAGGATGAAAGGTTGACTCGTTTGTACGACCGACCTTCCATCTCAAAGTTGTTGGACACTTGCCGATAAAACCAGTTGTTGCCGACAACACATCTTCCTCTGCGCGTGTTTAGCATCTGCTGTCTTAGACAGCACGCCCCCTCGAATGCCAAGTTCATCCCTCTGCTTCGCAGTCGTCAGTATCTGAGCTTGGCAACAGAAATCCTGGTCTTGGACGTCCTAAACCCTAGACCCAGGACCCAAACCTTTGGCTTTCTCAGCGCTAGGGTGAAGATGCTAGCGTTGGAACTCGTAAGGCGAATCTTGTGGAGATCTTGTGTGCAGCATTTTAGGGCTAAGGGTTAAGAGTGCAGTGCAGGGTTTTCTGCCGTTGCTAGTCTTACTGTCATGCGAGGGCTTCTGAATTAGCGTCCTATTTGGTGGAATGTTTGATGGGGTTGTCAACCACAGACTTGAATATTGAGAACTATCCGTGCGTTTCCGTCTGTTTTGTGTAGTTGTTCTGTCGTTGCTCTCTCTCGCTCTCTGTCTCTCTCTTACTTTCTGGCTCTCTTTCTATCTCGCTCTGTCGTAACACCTTCACACACACGGTCACTCCTTGCTAATTACCCTGTTTTATTCCTGCTCAGTGCGCAATTTGGATTGATTTGGCATGTCGGATCTTCTCGCAATAATATAATGCTCTTTAAGTTGTGGACCCTGCAGCACTGTGACACAACTTTGTGCCCAAGAACTGCAGATTTGGAGTACAAGCATCATCCGTAACCCGTCGCTTTCACCTTAACCTCCATGCCGTAATCTCAGTTCCGAAGCCGTTTTCGCAGCTGCAGCAACCACAGCCCGTTTCCGACGACTCTCGTCCAGGTCCGCCAGACTCCGCCTAGAGTCAGCGCCACTTGATTCCAAGCATTTGTTCCTCAAGCGATCTTTTTTGAATACGGCAGACTGGTATTGGGCTGTCCGGGTCTGTTATCGGAGGGCCCAACGTGCTGGCCCCAGACCGTGACTCAAAAGCATCGCAGGGTTGGTACGGCACTCATTTCGGGAACCAGAGGCCCCAAACCCTTCCAAAGGCTCAAACCCAGTCATTGCTGCTGAGGTAATGTAGGGGCCTGAATAATTAGAATAGGGTTCGGAGTATACTATACCATGTTTAAGGCCCCGATATTCCGTTTCTTTAACATCTCCGACCCTTCGATCTGAAAGCCCAACAATACACAGAGTTCCAACATGCATCCAAGAAATTGGGGGCTCTAGCACACCTGCTCACATGGAACTGCGGTGAGCAGGGCGAAGAAAAAACCTTCCAATTCGACCCAAGATTCCCGACATATTCGGATCTTGATTACGAGGACCTGTATCTAGATAAGACCAGAGATCCGTTTTCCTGACCCCGACACGCCTATTTTCAAGAGGCCCCCAAAAATCCATCCCGTCAGGACCGTCTGCAGCATGTTCGCCCGTATCCTGTCCGTGCTGGCTCTTCCCCTGCTCCTCGACTTCGAAGTTATTCCTCTAAGCACGCAAGGAACCCAAGTTGCATAGGTTTTAGGACCCTAAACCCTACACCCTGTAGGAGGCAAGAAACCTAAGCCCTAAATAAGTTTAGGGCATGGTTTAGGGGTTTGGGACTTAGGACTTAGGGGTTTGGGGCGTAGGGCTGGGCCAGCCTCAGAATCGAATGATGAGGCTGGCCTCCGCCGGCTCCAGCCTCCGCGGCAGCTCCTCGGATCTTCACGGTTTAGGGTTTAGAGGGTTTCGAGGGTTCAGAGGGTTCAGAGGGTTTAGAGGGTTTAGGGTTTAGAGGGATCTTAGTTTGAGGGTTTAGGGTTTAGGGTTCATAGGGCTTGGGTTTTAGCCCATGAGAGCTGAACCTCCGTAGGTTCAGACATTCAGGCGATTGCGCAAGCCCTGATGCAGAAAGGTCTTGGGTTCAGGAGGATCTTGTTTTTGATTTCAGGCCTGGGGTTTAGGGTGTTCGGGGGTGTGGAGTCTTGTAGGGCTTCCAGGTTCGACATGCTCCTCCGTGCTTCAGATGTTTCTGATGCTTAGGGTTTCTGCCACGAGTGCAGCAGCTCTGAGAGCCAGGCGGGCATGTACAAGTCTTTGCAAAAAGAGTGTTCTGGTTTCGGGTTAAGTTTAGGTTCAGATTCAGTAGGGGTGTTATTTCGGTAGTATACTCTACACTCTAAACCCATAGGACTTCTCATGCCTCAAAGAATCTAGGTTCAGGTTTGTGTTGTGGTTCGTCAGAAATTTGGGGAGGAGTGGGTTGGGCACCACCACGATTCGGGGAGAGGATGCTCTGGACGTTTAATCATACTATGTCAACTTGTCCGTCGACAGCTTCAGAATAAAGTTTTACAGTCCCACAGTCGAGCACTTCTAAGAGCCAGTCGAGATCTTTACACTGTGAATATGGTTGAAGCCAGTTGAAAAGGGGCAAGCAATCCTTGAACTTGAACCACACAGCCTTTGTCAAATTTTCTGCAAACCCCAGGACCCTACAACTTTCTGGAAGAATTGAGGGTGCTGAATCCTCATCCGCAGCTCCAGGTGAGTCTCAATGCTCCGGTGATGGGAGCCTCCCTGAGGGCCCTGCACCTCCACGTATTCAGCAGCGGTTTAGGGTTTAGGTTTTTTGGAGCGTGCTATCTTTTGAAATTATTAGGGTGCAAAAAATTAGGGTGCAAAAGGTCTAATCAGCCAAGGAAACAAGGGGGGGTGGTCATCTTCTCCATTTCGCACAAGATGTTTCTTGAGGTGGCTCCCTCTTTTGCTGATATTCAGATCCGAACCCCAGAGAGACCCCTTTAGGACCAAACTTTAGGACCATTCAAACACCTTGAAACCTCGTAAAGCTTGAACACCGACCACAACCCATACCCCCAAATCTATGCAAGGTAGGAGGCCAAAAAACCATGCAGGGTTTCTTTTTGAGGCTTCAGGTGAACCTTAGAGCTTCAACGGGTATCAACTGATTCTTCAATCCCGTAGCACCCTGTACAGGCGCATAATCCTACACTTGAAGCCTCAGCACTATAGACAGTAAACTAAGTATATAACTCAGGACCACCCCCCAAAGTCCCGGTATTCTGAAGTTCGCAGCCGTTGGCGACGCCCTAAAACTGAATTCAAGGTTTGCTTTGGCGGTACCTTGCTGACGCAAACCTTCGCCATCCATGTGGTGAGTTCCCTGGCGCCCGAACTTCGTAATTGGGATTGAGGTTTCTGGTTTGGGCTGCAGGTTCCCAAGTCTGAACCCCCCCTCCCCCTCCCCAGATACATGTAGGGGCCTGAAAACTTCGCAGGCGATCTCTGCGAGATTGTTGAACATTGAGTGCTTTGTGTATTGTTCATATTTGCAGCATCACCCCAAAAGACACCCCCCGTTCTGGCCCGCTGCCCCTGACCTGGTTGATAAATCTACGTTGCTCTGTTTAGTAAATCCCTCACCGTGTTCGAGATTTGATTCGAAGTTGATCTGATGGCACGGATTTGGATCTGGGGGGGACGGCCATAAGAAAGACATCTAGACTGAAGGGATCTGAGGGCTTTCAGGCTCAAAGGTCGCATTTTGCCTCTTGCCTATGAAAGGCATCCAAACCTTCGAACTCCCAGCCGTCTAACAGAACCCTCCGACCTTCGAACCAACTCTGATCCCCTAAACAGTGTTAGGAGGGGCAAAAAAACGCAGTGTCATTTCTCCTTTAGGGGCAAAAAACGCAGTGCCATTTCTCCTTTAGGGGCTATTTTACCATAGAAGGGTTCTATCAGGGGTTATCGCAAGGACCGCTTAGGGTGTCAGCTTTCAAGGCCAGGTGTGGACGGAGGCTTCCGGGGCCCCAGTGCAAGACCGATCGCGTGAGGCCATGATGGAGCCGTCGGCATTGTGGACATGAAGGCAGGAGGGATGTGGGAGTTTCCGGAAGTAAGGGGTACCTTATTTTGGGGTCCTTATAACAAGGATCCTACTATTTAAGGTGCTATATTAGGGTCCCCTATTTTCGGAAACCCCTCTGTCGTTTCTGATGTTGAGGCCGAGTACGTGTCCACCCGGAGTATAGGGGTCGTCCACGGCAGCCTGTCTGGAAGGCTGTAAGACCTACTTAGTTTGAGCTCTTAACCGAAGCCGAAGCCCAAAGACTTATAGATCCTAATACAGGCAACTAAGTCTGTACGACGCCAACCTCGCCAACCCCCACAGCCCGAAAAATCTAAAACGCAACTCCAAAGGCTGCAAAACCACATGAACATACCCTGGCTCCAAACCCGAAGCCTCTTTTAAGCTTGAAGAAACGCTCCAAAGTCTGAGCCCTGAACCCCTAAATCCCGAGACCCGCAAAGGCGGAGGGCCCCCAGTCTGCAGAATGCCAGGGAGCCCAGCTCCTTGGCTCAGGTTTAGGGGTTTAGGGTTTAGGGTTTAGGGAGGTTTAGGGGTTTCATCTAGGGGCCGAAACAGTTACCAATACTATTTTTTGGGGGTTCCTCGTTTATACAACCCTAGTCTAATTATTAAGGCCTGTATATTAGGGTTTAGGGAAGACCGGGGGGTGAAAAGTTTTGGGGGTTGCTGGCTATGGGGGCAACGGTCCTGTCCGCAGATTTGGGTAGGGTTTTACACGGTTCTACGGGCTTGATACGGTTGTGTAACGGTGTATAGGTGGGGTTCAAACACCAGCAGTTGTTTTGGGGGGGCGAGGCTCCTATTCTTTGAAGTGCAAACTTGGGCCTCGATTTTCTGACACTCCGAAAACAACGAGGTTCCGGCGTAGAGGGGTCCTGGAGAGTTGAGGGCTCCGGCCTCCGGGCTTCAGGGTCTGAAGGTCTGAGGGATAGAAGGCTCAGGGGCTGAGGATTTATGTTTGAAAGCTTAGGGCTTTGGGCTTTGGGGCTGTTTTGGGGTTCCTTATTGTAATCATAGTATAATAGGCACCAAAGCCTTATTCTAATTATTAAGGCCCCTACCTTACCAGAGCCAGCGAGCCCCAGGTTTCAGAACGACGCCAATGTCATCACCATCGAGAACGATCATGGTTGCCTCTCGGGCTCACAGGTGCATTTTGGGGGGGGATCCAAACCCCTCAACTCTAGAGCTCCCTAAAGCCTTTGAGGTTTCGCCGTGGCGCCAATCCTCCGTGGTGTTCCCTGGGGCTCCGGTTATCTAAATAGTAGCTTACCATAATCATATACAGTATGTACCCCCAGTAACCTATGGAGCCCCAGGAGTTCTTACAAAACCGCATGGAGCCCGAGGAGTTCTTAGAAAACCCCAAGGACCAGACCCGGGATCTTCTGTGAGCTTTGCAGGCTTTTTGAGCTACTCCAGGGTTTCTTGAGACCGCTGCCTCGAGCAGTCGAGATTTAGCGCTTGCTTTTCGCAGGTACTATGCGTCGGAATCCCTAAGCCCTAAATTCGGAGAAACTTGTGCTAGTATGCTCTTAGTCCCTGTTACAACAGTCGCTATATAGCTATGATGTGAGCTGCCCAAGGCCCCTGTTATTGGGGTCCGAGCTTTGTTTCTGAGCGTCCCAAATATGCTTGCCGCTTTGCCCTCAACCGTCTTTCTTTCTGACCTTTAAGCAAGCTACCTTATAAATCAAGTTTGGCGGTACCCATAAACTTGATCTTTATTACTTCTCTCTCTATGTGAGCACTGCGCAATAGGGTTGAATTAGAATTCCCCTAAACCCTAAACCCTAAACCCTAGATCCTAAACCGTATCAACTTCGTCGAGAGCTGAGGCGGTCTGTCCAACTACGAGTACTCGGTCGCCTACTGCCCCGACCAGGACATTTGGTTTAGGGTTTAGGGTTTAGGGGTTTAGGGTTTGCCGAGCATGCTGCAAACAAGGGAGTGGTGTGAAACATGATCCCCCTACCTTTCCCAGCAGAGGCGCCGCAGGCTGGATGCAAAAGGGTTTAGGGTTTAGGGTTTCGGGGTTGCATGGGCGCTGGCCGGCACCTCAGTCCGTGCTGAAAAAAAGGGTTTCGGGGGTGTGTGCGGAGAGCATTTACCCAGGTGCCCAACACCCCAAAGACCGCCGTAACAAATTTACAGGAATCTTCCCGTAGATGGTGTAGTGTAGGTCGGATTTCTTGTGCAGACTTAAGCACTGCTCTTTGGTTGAGTAAGTAGATATGTTTGGGCTCTCTTGGTGTAGGCGTCTGAGCCAAGTCTGAGAGGTGTTCCGTTTCTTTGGAGCTTGCTATTGAAAGTCAGTTTGGAAGCCTCACCTATTCGTGTGAGACTTCAGTGCCCGCCGCTTAAGACATAGACTTCCTAAACTACCCGATCCTGAGACCCCTCAACCTTAGAACCCAGAGCTCTAAACACCTGTGAACCCCAAACCCCTAAAGCCCTAAACCCAAAGCCGCAACAAATGCAAATCCTCGAGGACAGCTTGGTAGTCAACCTCGTCAAACCCTTCAGCGCTCCTCGGCTTTCCTACAATGTGCACCCGACCTCTCAGAATTCCCATTTTCACGGTTTAGGGTTTAGGGTTTAGGGGTATAGGGGTTTAGGGTTTAGGGTTACGATTGAGCAGAGGGAGCCCCCGGGCGTCGAGGCAAGCCCGCTGCAAAAGGGTTACGATTGAAATCCTAGCGGTTGGGTTCTTCCGCTTCGGGCAGCACAACCTCGCTACCCTCGGAGCTTCTAAACACTGGAACCTCCCCCTAACCCCAGTCTTTTGGGCGTTATTATCATTATTGTCATTGTCAGTGTTACTCTAGCTTGATACATTGGTACTACTTCGGTTACGAGTCGAATACGGTTGTGATTATGACTATGTAGTATTCATGATTATGCCGATGGTGATTAGGAGTATTGCTGTTGTTATTTCTGTGTTGCTGGTATATTTCAACATCCTCCGGCTTAGTCAGCTTTGGTTTTCAGGGGCTTAAGATTTCAGACTTCATCCTTACTCTCTTAGGTAGTTTGTTTTTGGTTATGGCCAGGACCCCGCACCGAACAAAGACAGGTCAGCGAAAAGCAACATCTGACAGCTATAAGTAGTTTTTATGGAGATACCTGATGGAGGTGCGCTGAAGAGTTCTTGCAGATTGTCACGCAACAGCCCTGTAGAATGTACGTACCAACACTGCCATTCCTAGGGGCTCTTGGGCGCCTATTGGCATCCTACTCAAAATTCGAAATTTTAATGCTGTGCTAGGATATTTAGTGACTTTAGTCTTCATGAAAGCCATAGTCGTGTTTGTTCGGTTGCACACTCCCAGCTCTACACCCGATCAAACGAACACTTTCAAGCTCTAAGCCCTAACCCCTGAACTCTAAAATCCTACACTCTAAAGCCCTAAACCCTAAACCGTAAGCTACTTCTGTGGAGCCTTGCCTGCTGCGTGCGAGAGTGAGAGTCGAAACCGTAAGCTACTGCCCCACGGTTCTGGGAGAGGTTATGCATGGAATGTAATGTTAAGGGTCCAAGTACCAAATAATCATATACTCTCCCAAATATTAACCTATATAGCTACTATCCGTAACCAAAGTACCTAATTATTGGGTCCTTTGGACCCTTAGGGTAAGAAGAGGGATGAACTTATAGTGTCCCTGCATGAGTCGAGATTGTCGTGACGTGCATTGGTTGTGAATGCAGGTAACTTGCTAGTGTCACCTGGCGTTCGCACGGCGCAACTAGGGTGTGGGGACTTTTGGGTTTAGGTCGTTTGCTGATGTGGAGGTCTGTTTTCAGATGGGCTGGTGAATATATGGTTGTGCACTTGTCGTTTTCGTGTCATGAGTCCTTCCTGACAACGGTACTCGGCGACACGTGCTGCGGTATCTTCAGTTTCATCGTTGGACCAGTATCGCTACAGACCTTGCCAGGCTTGTCCGAGTGTGATGTGTGAGTGTCAGAAGACCTTAAACCGAAACACGATACAACTTAGCTTGAGCTGAGGTTCGCATGGCGCTCGAGCGGCAGGCCTGTCCAGAGGCTGGGGAGGCAGGGCCTTCCACACGGCAGAAGCTTGAATTGTTCACTGTGTACTATAGGTTTATTCCTTAAAGCTCCTCATTGTTATTTTTATTGTTCTTTATTATTATCATCATCGGTATATGTCATACTGTTCATGGCTATGCAAAAGATCAAACTATCATTATATCCAGGGGGCCTAACTCCTTTCGTGCGTCGATCACTGTTCAGCCCTGCAGACGCAGAAGGACTTTCGAATATCCTGTAATAAACAGCCATTGTTCTGTCTGGGGTATCCTCCCCAGCCCTTACGCCTTACACCCTGCTACTAGCATCCTCACTGCTCATTGCTACTCTAATTCTTTCCGGTTTCCGTGTTCAGGGTGTCAGGCGTGGTTTTGAGGAGTTTCGAGTCAATGTCGGGGGCTCCATAGCTAGAAGGTGTGCCATCTCGGGATTCTATCGGCAATCAATCAGACCGTTACATGTTCGGGTTGAGGGTCTTTTGGGTTTAGGATGGGTATACTAGAAGAGTTGTGATTCGCCGGGCACTGCTTCAGGGGTCTACAGGCACGACCTTTTCAGAGAGGAAGCGCCGAGCCGAAATCCTGAGCTAGTCGAAGCCATGAAACGGGTAGTGTTGCCTTGTTTTTTCGTCCAGTCACCTGAACAGCAGTCTACTAATTACTAATCATATAGTATGTACCCAGTAACTCACTACATTTGGGGCAACTGGAGCCATAGGGTTTAGGGATTGGGGTTGACGAGATGGGGAGACCGGCCTGCTTTCGCAGACTCTTCCGGTGTAGATCACTCCAAGCCCTCAAAACGTGCTTTCGTTAAATGGGGGTTTCAGAAAATAGGGGACCCTCATATAGTACCCTAAATAGTAGGGTTCTTATTATAAGGACCCCAAGATAGGGTACCCCTAATTTTCGGAAACTCCCAAATAGTGTGCGCTCTCTGGTTCCTAAGCCCGGGCTCGACACCTATCGAAGACCAGCGTTGTTCGAGCCCGAGCTGCTGTTTTGGACTCCGGCGTGTTGGCCGTCTAAGTATACCCAGTGGCAGGAGTGCAGTCATCAGCGCAGGGAGTTTCAGTCTTGCTTGGGATTCGAAAACCCAGGATTGGGAAGCTAAGCTAAGCCCTGCACCTGCCGCTGGAGCTTTGTACGATACATGGGAACCGAGGGGTTTTGAACAAAACCTTGAAGCCCTCAACCCAACTCACACTCCGCATTGACAGGTTTGAGGTGGATTCTGAAAGCAGCTGCTTGTTTTGACGACTTCATGCGAGCTGGGCCATCCGGCAGATTGAGAGTAAAAGGCTTGGCATCAAAGCAACTAGGAACCTCTTACTCTTCTGTAGTACCCGACCAGTTCTGCGGGCGCGGACGGCATGGCCTTTTGCACACACCCTAGCCTACCCAAGAGTCAGCCTTAGGCTCAACTCAATTCGCTTCTTTTCTGGCCACATGAAGTAATAGCAAAGATGCGGCATTATAGTACATATCTAATATCAACTCTTTGCAAAGATACCTCAAAGTCTCAGTCTAAGTTGCTAAGTGTTCAGCCGCCTGTATGATGCACCGGTTTGCACCTCTGTGTAGGCCCAGATTGTGTGTGTTCGCCGCATGCCAGACGGTGGCATAGTGCGTGTGCCTGCAGTCGGGAGTGCCAGGCAATGTCCTGTCCCTCCAAGACAAAAGTGGCATTCGCTCTTATTTCGATGTCAGGTCCTGAATTCTGTTTGAATCCTGCTAATTAGAGCCTCGCCGATCAGACTTGATTGGAAAGCTCTTGCCTGCGTTGACTCGTCCCGCGTCCCGGACAAGAGAATGCGCGTGGGAGTTTCGCAAACAACATGAGACCTAAATCAACCCCCGAAACCCCACAGCATAGAACAATCCTGAACACTCAACACATAGCCTTATAAGCCGAAAACCTAACATGATGCTTAAGCGAGATCCCGCTGTTCCAGACACGCATACTTACTTGGTCTCTAAGTAACTAGGTTTTAGGTTTGGGGACTGGTTGGGTAACCTTCAACTCGCTTGGGTGTATACATGGGTGTATAGGTGAGGGGCTAAGTGGCTAACCTTTTAACATGGAGACTACAGCCGCAAGACTTATCTTGGCTGCAGCCGTGCTTGTGATAGGCAAGACGACCAAACTTATCAGTGTTTCTGCCCCATGTATTCCTGGTCGTGCAGTGCATTGCTGGCTTGATGGTTGCAGGCGGCGGTCCGTGAATGACCCTATCCTACATCTTCCACCATCGGAGCCTTCTAGCGAGCTGCTTGGTGGCATGCTTCTGGGACTTGACAGCGGTGATAGTAGAAATCAGAAGCTTTAACTTATGCCAGCCGTTATGCCAAGGCCTTGATAGAAGATTACTAATGGACGGGAAAACAAAATCGTGGCAGCCATCGAACCATCTGGGTTTGGGCAGTTGCGTTGGTGGCTACAGGGCCTGTCTGGACGGCAACCGGCATTGCAGCAGACGTGATAAATTTGACTGGAAGCTGCCGGGAGGATGCGCAGAGATATTTGGTATTTGGGGTCCGTGTGATTGTGGTTCGTATCCCCACCAGAGAATAACCGCACCACCGCAACATTCGTTTGTGCAACCAAGGACCGAGTCCCTCGAGTTTCGGGCGGGGCGCGCCCGGCTGAGAGCCTGGAACACATACGATGATGTTCAGCGTCTTTGTCGTTGCAAAGGCTGCTGCCATTGCTGCTACGACACCCTACGTAGTGCCCGACGACGGCGAGCTCCTACTAGCACTACGACGACGACTGCTACTACAACGACCACTACTGCTGTTGCCACTACCACCACTATCTCTACCACTCCCGCCTACCACCGCTACCACGACGACCCACCTTCACTGCTAGTACGTACTGCAGAGCCCGCAGCTTTTCCTCCATACGTTTCAGATCCTAAAGGATCTCTTGTTTCACTCCGACTGTTCTCGCTCCACAGACTGTGCAGTGCGGCAGCATGCAGGACATGATGTCGATGCCAGAAAATGACCTCACTTCTGAGTTTGGGTTTCTATGAATTACGGTCAATTTCAGAGGTCCTTAGCCTGAAATTCAGGTTTCTCATACGAGGGATCCCCATGTAGATTTGCGCAGGGGTCCTTATATGGAGGGTCCGGAAGGTCCGACTATCTAGCGATTTTCTTAGGACCACTGATGATCCGAAACTCCCACTTGTTGTGGCTTGCTTCCTGAGGTTTTAAGATGGCATTAGAGGGCATGCCCTCACAGGCTCTCATGTGCAGGACTCTGGATTTGCAATGTTGTAGCCCATGCTGCCAGTCCTTTCAGGCACCGCTCGTGCGTACCCTTCCTGCTCCGGCGGAGCCCCGAAAAAGCGAAATGTTCATGACTTCTTCGGTTGAGGGTTTAGGGCTTAGGGCTTTTTGGGCCCTATAGGCCCTCAAGCCTGAGCCGGAAAAGATCCTAAAGCCTGAGGTCTTCCGGGTGGCCTTCAGTGTGGGTAGACGTTGGGGAGTTCCAGAAGAATGAGGAACCCTGGGGTTGTTGCAGAAGCTATGTAGACTAGGATCCTTACAACAAGAGCCCCAAAGTAAGGATACTAAGTCCTGTGGGTTCGCTGTGGTAGTGCCAGTATAACAGCGTAACATGCCCCTAAAGCTCTAGTCTAATCCTTCTTATTTAGCAGCCCAGAGTTTCAAAGGGTGGCCATCGACTACAGCTCTGCTGTATGTGTACGTGGACTTGTCGGGCAAGGACTTCCTAGTTGTAAGAAGCCAATCAAGGGAACATGCCTTGATTATGGGGTGTTTCCATCATATAAACCCTAAAGGGGGCCCAGATTGTGTTCTCTGGGTGACGGAGTTCTCTTGTAAACTAGGCGAAGGAAGGAGGAAGGTTTCACGGCTTTGAGCCGGAAAACTCCCCATATAAAACCCGGAAGCCTAAAGGCTTAAACAAAAAAGCCTGAGCCCCAAATGCCTGAACTCAAGACCCTGAACCCTAGCATCCCAAACCCATAAACGTTAAACCTAAATCCCAGACCTTACCCCCAAAACCCTAAACCTATAAGCCTTCTCTTGCCAGCCTATAAGCCCTAACCCAAAACCTCTAAACCCCTACATACCATGATGCTGACCGAAGCCTCAGCAGATCTCAGCAGCAAAGGTATCAGCAGCTCCTCGTGGAGGCGATTCCGCGAGATTCCCAAAGGCCCCTGGGCTTTGATCTAGGGGCCGAAACAATTTCTAGCTCTGTATATTGAGGCTCCTTATTACAAATATAAGGTATATGGTTCTTTGATTATAAGTATAGTGTGATATACACCAAATCCTCTTCTAAGTATTATGGCCCTTATGTCAGATGGTTTATGGTCTTCGGGGCGGGTTGTGGGATGTTCGCGTATGAGGGTGTTGCTGTTTTCTTTGGTGTAGTGGTTGTAGGTCTTGGGCGGTCTGGGTTTGGACCCGGCGTGTTTTTTTTCGCGGATGTTGCTTCTTTTGGTGTGGTTTGTGAAGTTCTGGTCGTGCGATTTGTCCAAAGCCTCAAGGGTTTCAAGCCTTGAGAGGTCTGAGACCTGCCTGGAAAACTATATGCACGTGGCTGTGGTCATGTAGAGACCTGATGAACAAACACCCTTTCTTCAGGGGCCTGAATATCAGGATCCTTATAATCGTGAGCAGATGGGCTTCCTGAACCAGCGGTCTACAGTAAGCCTTATACCCCAGACCCCTGCTTGCTAGCGCTTTGTGTGGGTTGTGTAGTTTTTTTGCGAGTCGATGCTTTTGGTTCGCTGACTCAGCTGAACCGTGTCTGCTTTGTTGTATGTCGGGCATGTGGGGGGAGCTGGACTAGCTTCGTATGGATGTATTTGCTCCTGACTGGGCTGGTCTCGGTCTAAGAGCCTAGAATGGCAAAGCCACTACATTAACTACATACCTATGTATCATAGTCATAGTATATCCCCAAATCCTATGTTAGTGATTAAGGCCCGTACACTAATAATACTAAGCCAACACTACACTGAGGCCTTGGGCCGTGCGCTTCGCTGCTGGAGCCCTTGCGGGCGCGACAGCGACGACGCTCACGCGACGTGATGCCATCACGAAGGGCTTAGGGTTTTAGGGTTTAGGATTCCCTGCTCAGATGGAAGCGCAGTCGTGAGAGCTGAACTTCTGCGGGCTCGGATATTCAGGCGATTGCACAAGTCCTGATGCAAAAAGGATTTAGGGAATAGTAACGTCCACAACGGCTCCAGGTGACACATACAGTATGTCATACCTAGGCCCGAAACTCTACACCCTACCCTGAACCCTAAACCCTATTTATAAACCCTAAAGCCTTAAAGCCTTAAAGCCTTGAACCCCGAACTCTAAACCCTAAACCCTAGACCCTAAACCCTAAACCCTACCAACGTCCAGGGTCCGGGGAGGAGGGCCTCAGAAAAGGACTATTGGGAAGAGAGTTTGCAGCTTCCTACGTGTAGAGCCAGAGCCTATAGGTCGCCGCTATTCGCTGCTATTTGCCGCTATTCCAGTTCGCCTAAGACCCCACTAAGCCCCCGGCATTTGCAACCTAACATACTTCTGGGGCCCGAACATCTACTTAGAGCCTCCTATATAATGATAAGCTGATAACTTCGTGGACCAACAGAGGCTTAACCAAAGGGTTTACGTATGGTTTAGAATAGTTGTTAGGGGAACTTTGTGAGCAAAGAGCCGGTTGTTCAAACTGAGCAGTATGACGCAGAACCAGAAACATCGTTTAGTGCAAGAATGTCCCTTGCCCATCTGTAGAGCTGTACTTGCCAAGTTGTCTGTGCCTGTAAGTCGGGGTAAGTAGGGTTGGGCATGAAGTCTAGTGGACGGAGCCAAAGGCAGCCAAGAACAGGTTGAGTTCGTTGGATCTAGGTCGTTTCTGGACTCCCGCAAGGGTACGCCGCGGACACAATGATTTCGAGAAGTCTCCCACGCGAAAAGGCGGCGGAAAGATGTTGGGATTAGGATGGCAAGAGAGCAGGACCCGCCATGTGGAGGAACTGGGCCGAGTCAAGCCTACAGCTTTGATTCATTTGCGTAGGCCATATCCTGGCTTGCGTGTGTGTGTGTGTGTGTGTGTGGTAACGAGCTTTAGGATCTACACAGCAGCCAGCTGCGAACCTCCAAACCGGTCCAAAGCTACACATGCAGTACATGCCGAGCACAGAAAATTCAAAGCACAAGGCGGAGATAACGGCCCAAGCACGAA